AGATAGTTTAATATTCTATTGCTCGACATTGACTTTGCCATGACATTTCTGTTGATCATTGAACTCCTGACAGTTAGAACTTTGTATGCATGCATCGTTAGGGGTGCCCCGAATTCTCAGTTTATTTACTTTTTTTCGTATCATTTCTATGAGAACGCTTTTTTTGTTTGAGTTTGACGGGGAGATTGAAAATTTAGGATTTTTAATTTTTTTTTTAATTTTATATATATTAAATTAAATGGGTAAATGAATATCCGTTATAATTACGGATAATACCTATAACCAATGGATAACCGTTATAACCGCGGGTAATACCCATAACCATCCATTTAAATTTCACGGATAAACGGTCATACTCATAACCGTTTGTTCGTCTAAATGGTTACCCATAATCGTAACCATAAACTTTAAATGGGCGGGTGACCACGGTTACCTAAACCCATGGGTATTTTGCCCATCCATACTCATGAACATGCATGCTCTGACATGCAACGGAGGTGGAATATTTCTGCTGACGGTGGCTGAAATCTTTTAGCTTTAGGTCACCAAACAGAATATTTTGTCGGCATAAAGGAATATTCAGGGGGGACAAAAGAAAAATTATTTAACTTAAAATTCAACCAAAAACTTTATAAATACTTATATATTTGTTCAAACATCCACACAAAACTCACCTTTCTCCTACAATTCTTCCAATTCTCATTTCCAAATTTTTCAAGATGGCAAAAGAGCATGTTAGAGGTCGTAATTGGACCTTTGACGAAGATATTGCTTTATGTTTGGCATGGATTTCTGTTAGCGAAGATGGTGATGTCGGCACGAATCAAAATAGAAAGGTTTAGTGGGGTAAAATCGTTGATAAGTTCCATGAAAACTCCAATGCCGGTCGAAGGGAAGTTGGTGGTGTTTATGATCGGTGGAAGATTATCAACAAAGCATGCACTTTGTGAAAGGGAAGTTTGAAGAGACCCATGGTTGACATGCCTAATGGAAGGGGCACCTCAGAAATGGTGAGTTTCTTTGTTGATATTTTAGTTGTCATGTACATAATAGTATTTTGCAACTAATTGTTTTTATGTATTTGTTGCATAGGGTGACAAAGCAATGGCAATTTACAAGACAAGAACTACACCAAAAAATCAAGCTTTTAAGTTGCATCATGCTTGGAACATTCTCAAGGATTGTCCGAGGTGGGGAATAGATGCGAACCAATAATGTGGAAGATTATTTCATAGTGAAGCCCCACCCCCAAATGATGTCAATGAAGGAGTGAATTTTGCCGACAATGAAGGTGTCGAACAAATGACCCCAACTTCTTCTTTTGCAAGGCCCCGGGGTAGAGATAGGCAAAAGGAAGTAAAGAGAAAAGGGAAGTCCCAAATCCAATACGTGCACAACTTGCTAGCGAAATTGCAAGAATGAACAAAAACCATATCTCTCGACAAGAAGAATCGGCCCAAATGCGTTTGGCCATGAAGGAAGAAGGGGATAGGGAGCAAGAAAGGTTCAAAATTAATTTGATGATGGAGGACGTCGACAAATACATTCCAGAGAGGAAGAAATACTTACATGGTAAGCAAAAGGACATTTTACGAAGGAATGCCATAAGGAGTATATTTCAAGATGATGATTCATCTCAAGACTATCACCCAAGTCCATCACCAATTCAAGATGGTGGATATCATTATTAAGTTTATGAGTTTTCGATTGTATTAAGCTTATGTGGTTTATTAATTGTCTTTTTTTTCTTTCTTTTTTTTAAGTTTATGTGGTTTATTAATTGTCATTTGTATTAAGTTTATGTGGTTTATTAAATGTCGTTTGTATTAAGTTTATGTGGTTTATCATGATTTTCATGTATTGATTTAGTGATTTTTCAAAATTTATCGGAATTTAAATATTTTTAGGTTAAAATGTTCATAAAATTAATTTAGGATAGTCTACATAATTTTTTTTTTAAAGTTAATTAAAAAAATAGCTTTAATTCATTCTTTGATAATCTTGGGCTAAAATTTTAGGCCATAAGGGTTGGAGTAAAAAAATTGTTTTTGGGCTAAATATTTTTAGGTTCTAGGTCAGGGTTGGAGATGGTCTAATATGGTTATTGATTATTGATAATTGATATGAGTTCTATGAGTATTGATTAATTGAATTATTGAATAACGTATATGATTATTCATATTGATTAGTTGAATTGAATTTTTGTTTATTGAATAATTTGTATGATTTTTGGTATTGATTAATTGAATTGTTAGTTTAATTAGTTATTAGTCATATTGGTATAGTCTACTCTAGGATTAAGAGTCTAATATTTTCTTTTTCCATTATACAGTTACGTAATAAAACGATACTATAAGTCCTTGGATATAGACATCGAATGCTTGATTATCCACCAAATTATCGCAAAGCAATTTGTAAACACTATCTCCAAAATGACCCTTGCCAACCTAAATCCCACATCATGCCAAGAAAAGTTAGCGACAATTGATTTTTATCCCGTATTGGTTTGTCATTTTTTAAACATTGCACTCCTTTAAGTTCGTCCCTCCCCTCAACAATTTTTGGCTTCGCCACTTTTTACACATACAATAAACGAAACTTCATCTACTCAATATGAGGAAGAGAATAATGGTGGTTTTGGCCTTACCTTCTTCAGAAAACAGTGAAACTCGCCCGCAAAGTAGCTCCGTGTCGGAGCTCCTCAAATCGATGTTTAGGGTTCGTTTTTCTCCAAATTGACATCAAAGATGAGCTCAGAGGGAAAAGAGATTTTAATGGTAGTGTTGGTGGTCTGAAATTCGTCGGAGATGGTGGTGTTCATTGAACCAATTGATGGGGGTTTTCTTCGAGTGAGGGAGAGTGTTGAGAGAGAATGAGATAGTTGGAAGATAGTTTGGTGTGCGAGAGAAAGAGGTTAGGAAATTAGTGGGCTGCTAGGCTTAGTGTAGGAGTTCCCTACAAGGGAACACTGCAAATAGGGCACTAATCCTAAACAGAAACATTAAAATAAATTCCACTTGCAGTTTGGATGATTCCAACAGCTAATACTCGAGGGTCCAAAATTACGAAGGGCTCGTTTAGAAGTATTTTTAAAATAACTGAAAGCGTTTTTGGTAAAATTAATTTTGGATTCCAAAAGTACTTGAAGTGCTTTTTAGAAGAAGCATCAAATATATGCTTTTTGAAGGAAGTACTTAAACTGTTTTTTTAGAATCAACTTGGATTTTTACTAAGTTATTATTTTCAAAAATATTTTCATCAAAAGTACTTTCACATTTTAAAAGCATTTCTAAACGATCCATAAATTTCCCCTCGCGTTTAAATGTGTGTAACTTGTTCTTTATATGTTCAGTTTATGCTCTCGTGTTCGTATACTATTCAAATAACGCAAGAAAATAGACATCATAAGAAATAAGCTTAGATGTCCATGTGAAATTTACACTTAACCCCTTAGATGCATTTTTGTAAATTCATAACTTCGGGGGCATAATCTACGGTAAAATTAAGAACGGGTTGTAACATGTAATGTGGAGGAAATGCACAATCCCTTTTTTTTTTTTTTTTTAATTCTACGTGTGTCCATACACAATCCATTCTCTTCAAATTCTACCTATGATTTCGCCCAAATCTTTGAAATTTAATTTGAATTAATGCAAAAATATTATTGTTAAACGTTATGCATTTAATTATGTACTGGATTTTAGCCAAACAATGAACAAGAATAAGGAAGATCCATACTATTTTCAGGTTCCTTATCCATCATGTGACAGCGTATAATACGAAAAATTAAAACTCAGTGACAGCACTCATCACACCAGATTGCAGAGAAGAAGAAGAAGGGATCTGCATTCGGTCAAATTTTTTTGAAGGAAAAATTAATATAAAACATAAAAAATTAAAAAAAAAAATCATTTTTTCCAAACAGTCAATTGCAGAGTGCCATTTTTATCACTGACTCTAACTTGGTATATCCCAAATATCAGAAGAAGAAAAAATAAAAATTCAAAAACCCAACATTTATGGATTTTCAAATCCCAAGATTGCCCCGTCCCCTTCTCTCTGTTTCTCTCCCTACTTACTTAATAAGCAATGTCTGCACCCCCCAAATGGATTCAGATCTGCTTGATAAGGGCTGATTTGGGAAATGCCAGAGAGCTCTGTTTCAGAGATTGTGATGCAGAAAGAATGCCAGAGACTCAGTAAACAATCCTAGAGAGAGAGAGAGAGAGAGAGAGAGAGGAGAGAAAGGGAATAACTGGGAAAAAAAGATACGGAAAGGCTTCCAACCCAAGAAGGAAAGCGAAGTCTCAGGCTTTTTGGGTTCTTCTTTCTCTCTCACTCGTCTGTGGTACTAGTCCTTGGGGGGCAAAGAAGCTATAAAAAGAAGTATTTTTTGGTGGGTAAGCGGGCTTTTAATGCCTACTCTGTTTTTCCAGCTCTTTTTATAGTCCTCCTCTATAGTTCTCTAGTACTTCCACACAATCTGAGTCTACTTCTAGAGAGAGAGAAAGAGGGAGATAGAGAGAGATCAGAGAAAATTATGGCTTTAATTATGGAAGGGTTGGGGGCTTGCAGTTGCAGAAGGGAGAAGCTTTAATTATGGAAGGGTATTTTTCTTTCTAGAGAGAGAGAGAGAGAGAGAGAGAGAGGGAGGAGTGAGGGAGGAGTGAGAGAGAAGCGTACTATTACCCAAAAGGGTTTTGAAATTAAGAGAAGAAGGGAGAGGCTTTCTAAAAATAATTGGAAGCGGTTCACGGGATTGTCAGTGGGTATCTTTCATCCAGAGTACACGTTGCTCCAGAAAGTTGAAATTTATAGAGAGAACGCAGAGTGGGAGGGGAGAGAGAGAGAGAGAGAGAAGCGGTGGAGGAGGTGGTGGTGTTGTCTTTTGTTGTTGTAGTTTTGCCAAGAATATTCAGAGGACAAAGTGCGGGGACTGTAAAACCCGGCGCTTTTTTTGAATTTAAAGATTTTAAGGAGGTGAGTGAGAGTTTGTAAATTCTTGTTTTGTTTACGTCAAGTTTTTGAAACTTTGTTTTTTTTTAATTATAAAATTTGATTTTGAATATCTGCATCTTTCCGCGACGGATTTTGTCTTGTAATACAGTGCTTCACGAGGAGCTGTCAGAATTCACAAAGAAAATTAAAAAAAAAAAAAAAAATCCAATCTTTAATCTTTAACTCAAGTGTTTTGTTTGTTAATCTTTTCCTTAGCATTTCTCTGATGCATTTTGTTTGTTAATCTTTTGCTCCACACTTCTCTGCTTGCAACCTGTAAAGATCTTGCAGAACCCTTTCTGCTCTCTGTTTGTTAATCTTTTTCTCCACACACACCCACCTTCGTTTTTGGATTTTAGTTTTTTTCAAAACTTTCTCTCTCATCCAAATTCTAGACACTAAAAATGGGGATAGCCTATGTGCACAACTCACCACTTTGCTCTTTAAACTCAACATTCCCTCTCTCTCTCTCTCTCTCTCTACGACTTTCTTTCTTCACTCTCACTTGTTTCTCTCTCCTCATTTTCTCTCTCTACATTTGGTGCGTTGTAGGTGTTTGTTTCTTCATAAACTCCATCTGGATCCTTTTGACTTGTCCTTTACTTAACCCCTGCCTCCTTTTAACTTTCTCTCTCCAGCTTTCAACTTCAGATTCTAGAGAGAGAAAGTGAGATAGCAAAAAACATGGGGAGAGCTACAAAATGGTTGAAGGGCTTGCTGGGGATGAAGAGAGAGAAACACCACGTCGACAACACCAGCACCGTGTCCAGCGACCGGAAGGAGAAGAAAAGGTGGAGCTTTGCCAAGTCAGGGAAAGACACTACCACCAATCTTCCGCCGAATGTTCCTGTCCCTGCTGACTCTGCCTGGCTCAGATCCTATCTTGCCGAGTCGGAGAAGGAGCAGAACAAGCACGCAATTGCAGTGGCTGCGGCCACCGCAGCCGCTGCTGATGCCGCTGTGGCCGCCGCACAGGCGGCTGTGGCTGTTGTGAGGCTGACAAGTCAAGGCGGCCATGGCGGTGGAGGCGGGATTATGTTTGGGAAAAGAGAGAGATGGGCTGCAATGAAGATTCAAACAGTTTTCAGAGGCTATTTGGTACGTTTGCTTTTTCTTTGAGAATGTTGGTTACGTGAAAAGTTAACAAATTTTAACGTATGTTTTGGTTGGTTTTGTGGAAGTAGTTTTCTTAATTTTTACTTTCGTGTCTGCTCCCAGGATGTTGTGAAATCGTTTTCCAAAATCCTAATGGAACAGTAGAGAACAAACATCTGCTTCCTCAGTCAATGGAACTGCTAGATTTGCTTTTACGTTTGTTGTCTTACGTTTGTGTCTGCTGCCCAAAGCTTGTCAAAATTGCTTTGAAATCCTATGGAACAGTACAAAAATTGTTTCCGTCTGTCAATCGAACGGCCAACATTTGTTCTTCCTTCATCATTGTGTATATCCGAATGTGAAGTGTGTGAAATTTGAAATCTTGTTTTTAAAACGGGATAATGATTTTAATGTCAGCCTCCCATTTGTGCTAATGATTTCGGTTTTCTTGCTTTTTCTGGTAATGATTTTTCGGCTTGGTTTTTCATCTTATGTACCCCATTTGTTGTTATGATTTCGGTTTTCTTGCCTTTTCTGTGAAATGATTATTTATGCGCATCGTTGTGTTGAATCTTGGATCGAATTTGATTTCAGGCGAGGAAGGCGCACCGTGCTCTTAGAGGACTGGTTAAGTTGCAGGCTCTTGTTAGAGGCTTTCTTGTCCGGAAACGGGCTGCTGCTACTCTTTACAGTATGCAAGCTCTTTTTAGAGCACAGACTACTGTCCGATACCAGCGTGCGCGTCGTTCTTTCAATAAGAGAATAGGTTCCTACCCGAAATCACTGCCCGGAAGTCTGTTGTAAGTCTTTAATTTCACCAAACTGAATCACATTGTACATTTTTTGCTTCTTACTTATGTGGTTGATTCGTTAATATATTTACAGGAAAGATTTGAAGATGCAAGAAGTGAATTTTATAGCAGGAGGCTATCCGCAACTTATGAAACTTCGGTTGATAGCTTTGATGAAAGCCCGAAAATTGTGGAAATTGACACATTCAAGCCGAGATCCAGGTCTCGTAGATTCAACACCGTATTATCTGATCGTGGCGAAGACCTGCATTACCAAACAATCTCCTCACCGCTGCCCTGCCCAATGCCAACTCGTATCTCTATACCTGATAGCCAGAAACCTCAAGATTTTGAATGGTACTTCAATGGTGATGAATGCAAGTTCTCGACTGCCCATAACACTCCACGGTTTGCCACCTCTTTTCGTTCTAATGCTCCCAGCACACCATCTAAAAGTGTTGGTGGAGACAGCTTCTTTCGGCCTTACTACAAACTTCCCAAATTACATGTCAAGCACTCAGTCATTTAATGCCAAGTCAAGATCCCACAGCGCCCCGAAGCAAAGGCCGGAACCAGGGCCTAAGAAGAGGCTTTCGCTTAACGAAATGATGGCAGCAAGGAACAGCATCTGCAGCATTCGAATGCATCGATCGTGCAATCAAGTCCAAGAAGAAGAAGAAGAAGAAGAATAAGTCTCGAATGATTGAGAAATCTGCATAGCAGATGGTTAAAAAAAAAATAAAAAAAAAAAAAAAAAGGAAAAGAAAGATTGGAGAGAGGAGAACAACTTCTCCATGCCTTATTTTTCACTTTAGCATGAATGAATAGGGTAGAAGTAGAACACAGAGTTCTTGTGTAAATTCTTTTGCTTTTTATTTTCCTCAAGTTTCTTTCTTTCCAATTGTGCCTTCATGAGTTACGAGTCAATGAAATGGAAGGAGGTTCTACATGTTATTTTCTTATAATCCAAATGTTTTGTTTGCTATAGAATGATCACAGAGGTACCAGTGGAAAAAGTGATTGCTTCCAAAGCTAAGGTGATTAAGAAAGGTCTTGTTTTGAGTGTTGCCTCCTTAGTATTGCTTGTATTTAAACGAAAATGGTTAAAAATCTAATCTCATGCTTATCATTTTATCTGAGGTATTGTGTTCGAGTCTCCCCTCTCCAGTATCATTTGTTATCATTCAAGTTCTTACGTTAAAGTCTCCATTTTCTAGTGTCACTTGTAATAACCAAGACTAAAGTGGCAAAAAACAATTTATTACCGGAGGTATTTTTCGTTTTGCCTCCTAAACATTAATTTTAGCGGTTCCCCCCGAACTTTATAATTGGCCAATTTCTCCATGAACTTTAACTTTAGCCGGCTACCCTCTAAAATTTTATAAATAGCCAATTCCACCCCCCCCAAGTGTTAGGTTTTAAAAATTTTTCATCCAATTTTCTATTCTTCTTGCCCTCATACAGTTGTCATGTGTCGTTTACGTGATCAAAATAGATGGAAAATTAGATGAAATATTCTAAAATCTAGCGTTAATGGGAAAACTGGTTATTTATAAATGTTCATGAGGTAATCGGCTAAGGTTAAAGTTCAAGAAAAAATTGACTAATTATAAAAATTTAGAGAAGTAATCAGTTAAAATTACAGCTTAGGAAAGAAATTGACCGCTCTATACAAATTGGAGAGACAAATAGACAATTATACCTTTACTACAATTACCACTGCATCTGTTCGTCTTGTATTTGAGTCTCAATTCCCACTATCGCTTGTATCAGTCAAACACTGAACATTATGATTGCAAAAACCATTCACTATTTGACCTTACCAAAAACATATGTGAGAGTTTAACCAACATGCCATCAAATGTTATGGATAAAAAAGGAATTTACTATGATTAAAAAAGGGACAAAAAGCACCCCTCTGTGTTTGTTTGTTTGTAATGCATAGGCATTGGACAGATAGAAGAAATGGACAAAAACATCTCGGTTTCGACCGTTGCTAAATTCATGATAGCCAGGGTTGGCAAGCAGCAGAGGCCACATTATAATCCATGCGAGAAAATTGGAAATCTTATTTGAATTGAAACCCCCATTTTATTTTCCCACCAAAAACTTAGCTTCTAAGAAGCTTACAAATCAATGTTTGATTATCTCTGTCCAAGGCTTATAGCATAACCTAATTTAATAAGTTCGATAATGATCTGTCCTTTTGTCCTAAATTTATTTAATGAATACACAATTACGTTATGTCACGATTTAATAATATAATATCAATAAAAATAGTTCACGCTTGACTTTCGACTACATACTGTTAATAAATCTAAGTACATGATTTGTAATGTTATCGTGTGAGTACCCTTGCTAGTAATTCTAGTGAAAGGGAGGGGGAAAAGGCTATCCACTGCTATGCTATTTATTTAATTTAAAATTTGGAAAACAAGGAAAGGCTATGTTATTAGTGTTTGTAGTGTAGACCTGCGTGAAAATTTCAAAATTTCTTATCAGCAATGATTAGGGGTTTCATCTGATTGATGGGTTACTGGGTTTTGATTGATTACATCATGGTTTATCATGTGATTTGATATGATGGGCCCCACGAGCTCAATGGTAAAAGGTTGATTAAGAAAATAAAAAAATGCTACTCCTACTACAAATACTATTGATTGGATTACTTATCTAATAAAGATGAAATTTATGGGGCAGACGTTATTATTAGAGAGATAATGTAAATAGGGGATTATTATTGATATTTTAAAAATCTAATATTGCATCCTAAACTTTCTATTTTTAGAAATAAAAATACACTAATGAGCAATATAGAATGAAAATTTTAAAATATTAATAACATTTCTATATAAATGAAGATATAATTAGGTGTGAAGTGCAGCTTTACTACGAGATAAAAAAACATCATTAACTTCCTTGAAGAGTAGTTTGGGTACTTGAGCCGGTCTTTGACTGAATAATGCTTTTCCTTCCTACGTTTGCTTAAGCCAATACTACATCATCATCGACTGTATATGATGAATATTTCGTGCAGCGTGTAGGTTGTAGGTTGTTCTCTGAGTTTTGTCCTTCCTTCCAGACCTATAATCATGACGATCCAACGGCTGATGTATGATATTATCATGTGCTTCTTTGCATGGACGTGTGATATGATGGTTAGGTCGTTAATTTCGTTATTTTGTGACAAATCTAGTTTATCTAACATGATTTTAGAGACAAAATCATGCTTTGGGTCTTGCCCCCAAAAAGGAAATAATAATGCTTTGGTTTGAAGTAACGACGTAAAAAGAAATGCTGAGATCTTTTTTAGAATGAAACTCTTTACTGATATTTCATCATTTTATATTTTTTTTGCATAATATTCTATAATGTTAGTATAAGAATCGTGATAAAAATATAAAGTGACTAAGAGTTTATGACGATCTTATTTTTAAGAGAGTCTCCTTAACTACAGTAATGTGTTTCTCTTTTCTGTGATTAGATTAATTTATTTTTTAATTAAGTGTGTTTTAAATTAAATTAGAATATCGCTAAAAAAAAAAAAAACTATAGTCATCAGTTCTCTCATACTATCACTTAATTCCAAGTGACGTAAAAGTTAATTGAACTATTTCATTTAATACATTTAAATTAAAACGTTAACGTCTACGGTCTAAAAATGTCATTATAGCTTCCTCTATGACAAATTTGCCTTATGTTTTTTATAATATTAAAGTACAGAATAACAATTTTAAAAGTGCTAATAACTATTTTGCTTAAATTGTATTATGAGAAATGCTAAGGAGATACTCTCAAAATGGGGCTCTCCATGACTCCCTTCCATCTCATGTTTTTAGCACAATATTTTATAATGTTAGCATATAAATCAACGTTGAACTGTAAGGTGATATAAAGAGTCCATAAACAGTCCCGCTTTCAAGAGTTTCCTTAACATTTTACTTGAATTGTATTATATATAACATGAAACCATTTTTTTTTAAAGTACTCGATAGATTCATTTTATTTCAAAAACAAAGTTACAAAGCCCTACATCAATTACCAAACAACTTCTGCAAAAAGTAAATCTACGGCGAGGTCTGGAGGTTCCTCAAACCAGTTACATGACGAATTTGAAGTAAGAGCAAACCATTTTGTTTGTGGAATGGAGACTGACACCAGATTTTGAAACAAGAATTAACGACAAAGCCACAAGTTTGAACACAAAAAGGAGACGTTGAGAAGTGGAACCAAATATTAATTAACTAATGAAGTAGTAAGTATGCCTCTTCTGATTCAAACACTGACAAAACAATTCTTTATACGTTTTGTTTCAAAAAAAGCTCTTGCCACGAGACCAACAAGCTCGAATTTGTTTGGTTGAGCGGCTATGCTTTCGTCATCTTATCTCATTACGCTTTTGAACCAATAAAAAAATCTTAAAGATTTCAAAACCATTAAGATAATCCTTCTCAGTTCCTTGGTTTGATCAATCCCTTAAACGTGATTAGTTAATGCTAATGTTGGATTAGCGTTACTGTCATTAGTCAAAGGTTAGCATTAATCTCTCATGTGCTAACCACTATTCAAAATCAAAAGTTGGAATCACTCAACCCTAATCATCCCTTTGTCGGTACGTTAGGGTTTTTCTGACATTAACAATATTTTGGGTTCAAAATGCCTAACAACTTCACTTGTAAAAACCCTAATCATCTTTTGGCCTATTAATCTACACCTTCTGATTGGTAAACCCTAGCGATCTTTTTCCTAACATGATTCTGCTTTGTTAAATGTTTGAAGAGGATTTTAATGGTGTAAACTTGCACCTATAGGAGAAAGATTTGTGTGACAATCAACTGTGCACTAGACAATGTCTAATGGCACTACTCAATCAAAATTAACACAAGGTAAAAATTAATTATTATTTCTTAGTTATATTTACCTTTTAAAGCTTTCATAATTACAGTAAAAACAAAAAATAGATTACAAAGATAAATAAAAATAGAAAATACACTCCAATCACCCAACCGGAGACCTCCTCCACCTGAGAATTTGCCTCTCCCTCGTCCGCGCCGAGTTCGGTATTGTTTGACTAAATTTTGAGGGAATAAGCTTATATTTTCCATTCTCATAGATTTTCCTGCCATGGTTAGCACAATTCTTTGAAAAATGAAAAAAATGGTTCATCACCGAAAAAAAACAAGAGAAAACAAATATGGGTTCAATCATACATTGTCGTTTTCAAGACCGAAGTCAATACAGTTCCAATTAATCCATTGAGATAAAATATGAAGTGATGAGATTTCAATTCTTTGAAGACTAAGAGAAATTTAATACATAAACTGGAGGGACGGATGAAGGCAATAAGCATCCTTTACTTAGGAAACTGATCAACCCATATTAGAATTCTTTTCCCACCTTTAGACTTGCAATTGAGGCTTTTCTGGTAGAGGAAGTCTGGGCTAGGAATAATGTAGTTCAAATTCGAGACTTGGAGAGAATTGAACTTAAGACCTCTCACTTACAAGTAAAGAAGAATATCATTAGATCGTAATACTAAGTAGATGTTTTATTTTAGTTTTAGTTATGGAAATAATATTTTTCAGTTTTCTTATGTAAATACGAAATTATTGTTAAATCTTACCACGTGTCAAATTTTGATTAAGTTATAATGACATTAGACATTCATAGCACGTGACCAATGTTCACGTGCCTAGAGGAGAATATTCACAAGTTGTTTATTCATAGCATAACCGTTCCATTTGACTTTAGTGGATCAGATTTTGACATTAAGGATGAAAATTGACCAAATTTAACTGATACAATCTTGTTTACCGAAAAAAACACAGCAATCTACGATTATGTGAACTTATGTTTTGCAGGATTTGTCTTTTTTGTTGCCAGTACAACGAGGGTAGGGGACTAAGGAAAATAAAATAATAAAAAGGTACAACGGGGTCAAGATTTGGCCCTAAGATCATATCCAATGGAGAGGGTTAAAGGTCTAAAAATAAAAAATGACCTGATTTGCTTAGAAACTCATCTTCAACCGATAACTGCACTATAATTCTATAGGGACCACCAAACCATTATTTGGCCAAAAAAGCATTGGGCTGGCCATATATAATTTTCCACTTAGCCAATTTTTTTGGATTCAGCTTTTCAATTGCAATAATTGATTCAAATTCAACGAGTAAATTTAAAAACATCCAATCGTAATTTAATTAAATTATTAAAAAATTACAATATAAACTTAAAACTAATAAATTATTGAGGGGGCTATATTTAACCCCTTTGGTTGGAGATGGTATATAAGTATGACAGTTCCTTAAAAATAATTTTTTGAAGGGTTATAATTTTGAACGGGGCTATGTTTAGGCTATTTCCAACTGAATGGGCTATGTTTAGCCATTCAATCCAGATTATAGCTCTGCAAGAAATTATTGTTTAATGAACATTGTCAGACCATATTTATATACCATCTCCAATCGAAGGGGGGCTATTTTTAGCCCATTTAATATTTTAAGTTTGTTCTTTAATTTTATTGGTTAATTGAATTAAGCTATCATATTAAAATAAGGTTTTCAGACATATTTTGAGTGCCACTTGAAGATGTGGCAATTTGAAAATTATTGAAAAAATTAAAGGAAAGATATTGGAAGATGTAAGAGAGGGGTGTGTATAAAAAGAGTGTTTGAGGTGAATAGACTATCAAGAATTAAAATAAAATGAAATAAGATAGTATGGAAGAGTAAAAAGGATGTGAGAAATGTGTACAAATGTCTTAAGTATTTATAGGAAAAAATATTAGAATTTTTAATTTTTTTAACTTTCGTCTTAAAAAATAAAAAACTTTCAGCTGAGCCCAAATAAAAGAGCTGGCTGGCTAGCCATATGATTGGATTTTGGCTTGGACCTCTATTGGAGATGGGTTTTGTATCAAAAAGAGATATCCCCTGCTCTATGTCCCTGTGGGCTTAGCCCTTTAATTGGAGATGGCCTAAGTAGGATCTCCTGAAAGAAGGTGGGCAACTTAAGGGGAAACAGTCCCAACAGCTAAGGCCCAAGTTCAATAATAGCCCATATGGACAAGCCCACCATCCGTAAACTGACGATGGATATGAGCTAAGGCCCAAGTTCCATAAATTATGTTGTTTATTCATATGCGCAGCCATGAAAAAATGGTCTCCATAAATTAACTCTTGATAATTATATACTCAGACAAAAACACTTTAAAACTATCAGTCAATACTTTAGGAATAAAAAATAAACTTATTTAATTTGTGATGAGAAAAGGAGAGTAAAGAAATTTGGCTAAAGTGCATTTTACATTCTAAATACTATAGTTTGGTGGTTATTATCAAAATGCATTACAAGGTTACAATTTCAGCAGTTTACGTCTAAATGTTTTTGCTTTTGTTTTTATGACTAATTCAATGGTTTTGAAATAAAATAAACAATGCAAGTGGTGGTTTCACCTAGTGGCTAGGGTCTTCCTTTTCAACATACTGTGTTCCGGGTTCAAACATTTCTTTTTTCCTAGTGTAGTATTATTGGTCGTAATCAGAAGACGAAGCAAACAAATGATAATAAAAGGGATGTGATATCCACACACCTCATTTTACATCGTACATACCTTTTTAATTTTTAGTCGTCGGATATGATGAATTGAAGAAGATCAACAGACAGAAATTATTATGGGATGTGTGGATAGCACATCCCTAATAAAAACACAAAAAATGAACCGAGGAGAAGAACATACATAGAACCATGATGAAATTGATAGCAATGAAAAAATTAAAGCAAGGACGAGGGAATCAGTAGAAAAGGAAAAAAAAAAAAAAAAAATTTCTTTGCCCTTGGCATAATACATCTAATATATTTTATTTCAAAATTTAAACTCAAACCCAACGATAATAAATATGACGGTGAATATCATCATTACTTTTGAGTGGTAAGCAAAAATATTCATTTTTCTAAAAGTCGGACTATTGTTTTGGCCAAACGACAAACAGCATGGGGCAAATACGCGACACAGTGTGTAGTCGAGGGTTAGAAAAAGAAAACACAAGCTGTTTTCTTTTTATTTTTCTTGTTATTCCCCATGCTGCTCTCCTAGTTCTTTCCCCGCTACCATGCGCATGTGGTTGTAAACTAATTTTGCTACCCCTCAAGATTTGAAGCCCTGTACGGCTGTTTCAGTCGCCTTACCCCAAGGTCGGCCCTGCTTAGGGAGGAAGGATGAGGAAATTAGTTGTCACATGATTTATTTGTTTCTTTAATACAAACAATACTGAGAGGAGAAATCAAACTAAAATCTTTGAATGCAGAAATAAATACTCATCGACTTTAACTACAAGCCTCTATAACATGATTTATTTTGGATAATTAAGAAACGATCACTCGTTCTACTACATTATTTGATGATGATACATGAAACAATTGTGACTAAATACTAGAAGTAGTGGAAGGATACCACATTTTAGTACGATAGTGTAATATTACGTGATGTGCCAAGCGAATATAAGCAACATCGTGATCAAATTATTTAATATTATATGGATCCATCACTTACCATATCTATACAAAATTGTGGTCTCTTTAAACTTATTAGCAATGAACTCTTGGAATCTCATCCCCTCCAGACCTAAATAAACTGAGCTTAAGGATCAAAGGATCCGGACCGTTGAAATTTGATCTAACGACTATAATTATTATAACTTTTAGAGGATCTCTTGTTTGTAGTTTTTTAATCAAATTTCAACGGTCCGGATTTTTTGCTCTGGAGCCTTAGTTTATTTGGGTCCTAAAGGGATCCGGTTCCCTCACTTTTTTCTTTGATGTCCTTATGTAATCATTGTAGTTTATTTATAATCTCTTGTTTTATTACATTTATTTCCAATTTACTTACAGTCATAATTTATAATCTCTTGTCTTATTAGGGTACATTTTACAAATAATTTTTTTTTAAATTATTGTGAAAAATGACAAACGAAAGTCAGCAGATATAATTTTTCATTTTTTTAAATAAAATTTAACAATTTCAAGATGTGAGGTATAGTAGTTTAATCCAAGATCAATTTCTAAAAACGGTCAAAAACGTATTTGCTAGTAATCTTAGAAAATGAAAAAGTGCAGTTTTTTTTTTTTTTTTTTGAAAAAGCGAATTTTCTACAATAAGAGATGAAGAAGTGAGTTAAGTCTCACAATATGTGTGTTATAATAAGATGATTCAAATTCGCATTTGACGAAAATCAAACTTAAGATCTCTTACTAGTATGTGTTTTGTAAGATTTTTTAAATAAAAAACAAAAAAGAAAAAGAAAACGAAAACAAAAAAGAAAAAGGTAAAAGATCTGACCAGAAAAAAAAAAAAGGAAAAAGGAAAAGGTAAGTTTTTTTATCACCAACCACTACTTTGGTACCGTTGCAAAGTAGGCATTCCAACGGTCAAAAAATTCAAACTATAGATATTGTTGTTATATATTATAATCTCCGACGGTTTCTACCTTCATCCAACGGTCATATCGCATCTCCAAACCTATACTTTGGTAGCATTGTGGATATCATCTTCCGAGCCCCATAAAATTATACACATATTTTCTAAATCCAGTGAAAATTTTTACCTAGAAAAACAAAGTGCAAGAAATGGAGGTAAAGTCTTCTGATAAGGAATGGAGGAGGATTTCTTCATCGACACCCCCAAAGCGCCCTCTAACCCCAAAGCCCTCTACATCTGGTACTCTCTCTCTCTCTCTCTCTCTCTCTCTCTCTCTCTCTCTACATTGGTTTTTAATAGAAAGATGCAATTTCCATTTGTGATTTCTTTTTTCTCCGTATCCGAAACGAAGCATTGGAAGTCTTCTAATTGTTTAGATGTTTTAGTTTTTGTATCAAGACTTGAGTTTTTCATGAAATATGCAGACGAAAACGATCAATATTTTCAGCAAGTGGGCAACTCCAGTCTGCAGAGCCCCAAGAAACCATTGACAAAGAACTACATGTCACCAACCATATCTGCAGCTTCCAAATCCAAGGCCCTTGCTTCAAGAAAGAACATCTTAGGGGAAAGAAACGAGGCCTCCCAACCAGATTTTTCGAATGCCCCTGTTGAAAAATCGCAGAGCCCCAAGAAACCATTGACAAAGAACTACATGTCACCAACCACATCCATATCGGCAGCTTCCAAACCCAAGGCCATTGCTTCAAGAAAGAACATCTTAAGAGAAAGAAACAAGGTCCTCTGAACCCGATTTTTCGAATACCCATGTTGAAAAATCCTATGTAGCTATTGATAATGCTAGGGACTCTTTGCCTCAAGCCCTGCCAAAAACCCCTTCAAGTTTTCAATCCCATGATGTTGATGAGGCTCTTTCCGATGATTTTTCTTCAAGGCCATATGACCCGGTAACCAATTACCTTTCTCCGAGGCCTCAATTCCTCCGCTACAAGCCCAACAGGCGGCAAGAGTTGTTTCTTGGCCTGGAAAATGGTGTTGGGTTGAGGATTTGTACAAGTGGTTCTTTTGATTACCAGAAAGCCACTGATGAGGAAGTTGGTGCTGTTACAAGTCCTGGTTCTTTGGCTTTACCTCGTCCAGATGAGTCTCTTAAGCAAGAAGATGAAGAAGTTGAGCTGCGTAGATAGTGGTTCTTTTGATTACCAGAAAGCTACTGATGTGGAAGTTGGTGCTGTTACAAGTCCTGGTTCTTTGGCTTTGCCTCGTCTGGATGGGTCTCTTAAGCAAGAAGATGAAGAGGTGGAGTTGCGTGATAGTGGTTCTTTTGATTACGAGAAAGCTTCTGATGAGGAAGTTGGTGTTGTTACAAGTCCTGGTTCTTTGTCTTCACCTCGTCCGGATGGGTCTCTTAAGCAAGAAGTTGAAGAAGTTGAGTTGATTGATAGTGGTTCTTTTGATTACCAGAAAGCCACTGATGAGGAAGTTCGTTCTGTTAGAAGTCCTGGTTCTTTGTCTTCACCTCGTCCGGATGGGTCTCTTAAGCAAGAAGTTGAAGAAGTTGAGTTGATTGATAGTGGTTCTTTTGATTACCAGAAAGCCACTGATGAGGAAGTTCGTGCTGTTACAAGTCCTGGTTCATTGGCTTCGCCTCATCCGGATGGATCTCTTAAGCAAGAATATGAAGAAGTTGAGTTGATTGATAGTGGGTCTTTTGATTACCAGAAAGGCACTGATGAGGAAGTTCTTGCTGTTACAAGTCCTGGTTCTTTGGCTTCGCCTCGTCTGGATGGGTCTCTAAAGCAAGAAGATGAAGAAGTTGAGTTGATTGATAGTGGTTCTTTTGATTACCAGAAAGCCACTGACGAGGAAGTTCGTTCTGTTACAAGTCCTGGTTCTTTGGCTTCGCCTCGTCCGGATGGGTCTCTTAAGCAAGAAGTTGAAGAAGTTGAGTTGAGTGATGAAGACATTGAGGCAAGTGATGAGGAAAGTGATGAGGAGGAATACGAGGAGGATGAGGAAGAGAAGAGCGGGAAATTGAAATCGGGATTAAAATTTTTTCTTCTTTTGTTGGCTATAGTTCTCTTTTCCTCATATGTGTCTCCAATGAACCATCAAACACACTTTGAAGGCGTGGAAGATGCGTATTGTAGCATTCAGAACTCTACAATTGAAGCTGCTTTGTTGAAGAAACTTGAAAGTGGAGATAATCTTTGGGATCAAAAAGAAGAAAGACGTACGGGTTTCGTGGAAGTAATTAAAGGAGCTATTGAAGCGAAGGCTGAGGAGTTTATTGTTCAAGGAGAAGAGACGCAAATTGGTGAAGAGATCGAGGATGAAGCAAAGGTTGAAGATGAGAACTTGGGAGATATAGAACTTGCTGATGAGATGAGAGAAGTGGTGGACCTACAAGCTGAAGAAATCGAAGTAGAAAAGGAAGGAGGAATTGATGATTTGGGTGAAGTAGTGGTGGTGCCACAACTTGAAGATATTGAAGAGATTTCTGGTGACATAGTTGAGAATTCTGAGTTACAGGGTGCTGGACCATTCCTGTTCGATGACTTTGATCATCAGAATTTAGTGTCTGATGTTTCAAATGCTTTTGAAGGAGAGGTTGCGGCGGAGCAAAGTTATGGAATAGTTGAGAAAAAAATGGATGGAGCAGAAGAGTCTTCCACCAACATGGCTGCTGAACCTGTTATGCCGGAGACCCTGGATAACAATGATACAAGCTTTGATGAGGTTTCTGATTTAAAAGCAGAAAGGAACTGGAGGGAGGAGCTGATCAGTTTCATGAAATCGAAAATATTTTACACAGCTGCTATTGGGGTTTTCATATTTTCTGTGATTGTTGCTTCTTTGGTGTCGGTGTTTCGCTTTAATCGAAGGAATGCTACTAAAAAGGATTCTCGTACGATAGCAAGTCCTTATTCTACGCCCTTGAAGCTGTATTCTGAGCCTGTGATTGCAGAGAGATACAACTCAGTATTTCCTAGTAGGTGGGACGACTCATCTTTCAGAAGGATGTCTCTGTATTCCAAGCACTCAACTGGAGCAGTTTCCGGAGAGTATTTCCATAGCCAGGCACCGACAGTTGAATTGCTCAGCGAGCTTGTGGTCGGAGGAGAGGTCAGCAGCTCTCTAAGGAGCAGTGATATGAAAAACAAGATGACAGAAAGTGAAGAAAGCAACTATTCTGTTTCTTCAAAAAGCTGGGGAGCAAAGCTCGGTCAGTTTCTATTCGAGCCCAGCCGACGGAGTCAGAGTTTTCTTCTATCTCTATGGATTCCCATTCATACGGAAGCTTTATTACGCCTCAGAAGGTCATGAAGAAAAAGGTGAGAACTTTTCGGTTGTAGATAATTTCACATGAAGAATGTGCTTTTGAAAATAATTTATCTGTGTCATGAAAACTAATGATTTCTTCTTGTTCTTTCTCTGTGTCGATTTAGGAGGGTGGTAAAGACGGAGAAGTTACAACTCCGCTGAGGCGATCAAGCAGACTTCGCAACCGTAGCGGTCACGTCTCCATGAATTTCCAGACGGAAATCCATATTCTGACCTAACACGCAGCAGCTAGGTTGTTTTGTAGTTCAGTATTCTTCCACTGAAGAGTGTCTGGAGCATTTGAGCTGTGTGATGCTAGTTAGTATAGAGAGAGAATCTGATATGTTCTTTTAGCATTTGGTTCTTCTTCATTTGTATTTCTGTATTTTTATTTGAATGAATATTTCAGTATCTCCCTCAAAAAGCAAAGCCAAAACAGAACATGACCAGTAGCAGCACTAAAACTAAATGTCCAATTCAACCAAATAACCAGCACAAAGCAAGAAGATTACAGATTCAACTGATGTTAACTGCAAACAATAACCAGTGCGGATAATATGGAATAGCTGAAATTCACAGCGAGCCGATCATATATCACTTCTTAAAAGAAACAAGTCGCCTTGCAGAAAACTGCTACTTGTGCACTGCTAGCTGAAAATAAGAGTCTAGTGCTTTCAATGTGAGTTTGTTTGCCCTCACTAATTTTCATTGGACTGGACTGGACTAGTTATTAATCTGGCGTTTGTTGAGCGCAGGACTAAGTTTAGTGGAACTAACTAGGACTTGCCTTGACATAAAACCTTCACTAGAAGGTCTTAGCGAGACCCAATGAATAGCACGGGACTGGCTATAAGACCGTGCTTCGCTTTGACCTCAACCTCTGCTTCGCACGATTGACGATATACCTTCATCGCCGATGGTCTCTGTTGAAACCCAAACTCCCAAAAGATGGGATCTTTGTGTACCTGGAGGAATATGAGAGGCCAAGAACGGTCTTATATTCCTCCAATGGAGAGGGTTAAAGGGCTAAAAGGCAAAAATGTGGTATGATTTGGATAAAACCGATCTCCAACTGAAGGCTAGGCTAAAATTCAATGGAGCCTACCAAGCCAAAACATGGCCAAAGGGCTATGGGACTGGCCAGGTTTGGCATGGTTCTAGTTCACGCCAAAACCTAATACCAGTGAAAACTGAGAGAGAAGAGGGGAGCCAGTGGTGAATCAAGGCACTAGAGGGAAGGTTGATGCTTCCACAAGTGATTTTGTGGGACTGTGCAGCCTCGACGAGTGGTTTTGTAAAATCTGAAAAATATAGCTAGAGAGGTCGTTTGATTCTGTAATTTTTAGGGTTGATAGCTAACATGTCAAGAAAGATCGTGACAAAATTTCAGAGTGAACGGAAAACTTTTGGTGGGTCTAAAATATGCAGAAATTTAAGTTAGGTTGCGGAGAAGGGTCCCTGAACCAGTTTGGAGAAACTTCGATTAAAACCTGCCCTATAAACCTTATTTTAATTTGATTTTTATACAGAATGATCTTTATATATAGACAAGGAAGTCCTACGAATTTATGATCACGGGGTTTTGGAAAGTAGGATTTTGGAGCACGGACTTGCTCTTATTTGGATCTGATCAACTTATTTGGCAGTTTGACATTCTGCAAATATTTTAACACATTTTACATACTATATAACCTCATTTTCATCTAATTTCACATTCTATTCACTTAAAAAATTATGTACGGATAATTGTAATTTAATATGGTATAAGTAGTTGTTTAATTCAATTAAACAATAAATTAAAAAATAAACTTAAAAGTAATAATTTTAATGATTGAGAGGCTATGTTTAGCCTCTTCCATTAAGATAGTATATGAATATGACATGACACTGTTCATTAAAAAAATAATTTCTTGGAAGGCTATAATTCTGGATGAGGTTATGTTTAACCTTTTCGGTTGGAAATGGCCTATGTGGGTTGGGACGACATCAGCTTGGGGTTGTCGATGTGTGTTCTCCATCGGGAGCTGGGGTTGCTGATTTGATTTGGTTTTTTTTTTTTTTTTTTTTTTTTTTTTAGGTTTTGATTTTAAACTGGCTTTTGTTGATATGCAATTGTGGAATTGTGAGATGGCTTTTCATTTGATTTCCAACTGCAAGTCTGCAATGGTGGGGAATTGGCTTTTGAGAGAGGAAGAAACTAACTGAGAATCCAACCTAAGGTCTATATGAAGATTTGAAACTACAAGTTAGACTATGAACAATGCGAACCTTGTTCATAGATGATGTAGATGAGTTAGCACAAGACTTAATGCATAAAAACGAGTATGCATCTAGGATTTCAAAAGAACAAAGAAAGGAGGCTTGGGGAGCTTATGGCACTCTAAAAAAATGTAATCTTTCTAAAAAAATCTGTGACTAAATACTACGAGTATTGGTAGGATACCACATAGTACGATATTTTAATAAGAAATTTTTTTGAAATGTCATATGAACTTATTAGCATTTTTCAATTTGTCATATAAACCAAAATTTTAAGTAAATTGTCATACCAACTTTTTGAAATCATTAATTTGTCATCTCTTCCTAACTCCGTTAAGTTTTCCATCCAATATAAGTCATGTGCCTCGCACATGATTTGTGTTTAGGGTTATTTCAGTCATTCTAATACCTTACGTCCCTTTTATTAAGTTGTATTTGCCAAAAAACTGTAGGGTTTCTTAGGCAATGGAATAATATTTTCTATATGATAGCAATGAAATGATATGTAATGCACTCTCTTCTAGTTATTCCAAATATGTTATGATACACAAGTGGGAGTTTGCATTTTAGCATGTCACGAAGACATAATTTCATATGGACTCTATAAATGAGAAACAAGTTGACGTTTTGTGTCATAAATGAAGTTGTAGATGCATATGCGCTAAAGAAAAGTAAAAAATTAAGGGTTTGTACTAAATAAAAGTAAAAAACTTGTGAAAATATGTTAAAATGACCTAAATAACCTTGAACACAAGTCATGTGCAAGGCACATAACTTATATTGGATTGAAAACGTAACGGAGTTGGGAAAAGATGACAAATAAACGATTTTTGTAAAGTTGGTATGACAAATTACTTAAAATTTTAGTTTATATGATAAATTGAAAAATATGAACAAGTTCATATGACATTTCAAAATTTTCCCTATTTTAATATTATATGATGTGCTAGCGAATATAACCAACGTCCAGTGATCAAATTATTAATTAATATTATATGTGTACATCACTTATCATAGGTGTATAAAATTATGGTCTCTTTAGAATTATTTGCAATGAACTCACTTTTTTCTTTGCAATCTTTGTGTAATAATTATAGTTTATTTAAAATCTCTTGTTTTATTACATTTATTTCCAATTTATTTACCATAATATTATTTTAGATTGACAATTAGTAGAAGGATTAGGCTACGTTTTAAAAAAAAAAAAATTTAATTGTTTTGGAAAATGACAAACGACGCTCAACAAAAATTTTCAAATTTTAAATAAAATTTTACATTTTAAAGGTGTGAGATATGGTAGTTTAATCCAAGAATGAATTTTAAAAACGACTATACCAAAAAATGTATTTGCTAGTAATTTTAGAAAATGTAAAAGGGTTTTTTTTTTCACAAGTGCCACATGAATTTGTAAACATGTGCAATAATATCATCCAAACTTCCAATTTTTATTTTTTACTATCTGAACTCTCTTAACTATTGAGATCTACCACATACGTTACTTCCATTTCTTTTGAGGAAAACTAATGAAAAGGACTTCAAAACTTTGAAATTTAACAAAAAAAATCATCCTCTAACTTTATTTAATGATAAGAATAAGGGAGAAAAAAAAAATCATTGCCTAAAGGTGCGTGCAATTGCACGCCAACCATGTAGATGACCAACAAAGGTTGGTTGGAAAGCTATGAATTCATCAAAGGGTTTTTATCACAAATGATTCCTAAGATTGACCAAACTCAGCATTTTGATCCCTCACTTTCAAAATCAATCAATGTTGTCCCTAACATTCAATACCTCACATCAATTTGGTATTTCCATTAAGATTCCGTCAACTATTTTATTAGTTTGTATGTGAGACCCACAAATCCAATCAAATGATGACTGGTCCCTGACATTGATCCAACTCCTCATTTTGGTCCATGAGTTTCAAAAATCGATAAATTTGGTCCCTGACACACCTCGATCCGGAATGTCCACCTGGACTCTGAATCGAGTTGTGCTGGCTGACATCAGGAGGGTGACGAAGCCATAAAGTGTAGTGATGTGGAAAATGTGAATAAATTTAAACCTAAAAGTGCCTAAATATAAGAGTGCGCTTGTGAGCGATAATGAACCCATTTCACACATGATGTCAGAGCATAAGTAAAGTATAGTAAAGTAGGATGAGAATTATACTATCTAAGGTAATCTCAATACCAAGATTTGCTAAGAATCCTCGTCGACACAAAAGCTTAGCCACTAAAACCTGGAAGGGCAAAAAACAAGGGTGAGTGGGCCTAAAAATAAAGTTTTATAAAAACCTTTTTGAAAACTTTATAGCCCCTCGTCGTAAAATAAGTATAGTTTCCAAAATATACGTACTACATATAGTATAAAAATACTTACCGTAGCCTACAATAGCTGAAGAATTCAATACGTCACAAAATGCGTTAATAGGTATATAACTACCACTAATCACAATATCTCGCAGGAATGAACATATCATATTGAGTGCTCATCAACACATGCTGACACATGAGTTCATGTAGAGGTATTCTGACATGAACATGACTGGGTGTAATAATGATTTACTGCTCTAGTACTACAATCACATGAAGACTGGCGCTACGTGCATCACATATGAGTCCTAATTGCTTATAGCAATCTAGGACTGGACTGGCACATACAATGGATCCAAAGTGAGCGTATGATGCGATGTGAACATACACGTGAAAGACTGACCCTGGCCCAGGAAAGTAGTAACACCGGTGCAGCAACGATGAGCAGATAACATAAATAAAAGCATACAGTGGTAAATTGATAATTCATGTCACCATAATACTATTCATGTTCATAAATATAATTAAGGCATCAATAATAATACGCATACCTGTGCATCCCGTAGGACATAGCATAACTTCATAATTTCTATCAATGTGCTAAATCTTATAAACGTCACGCTAATCTTGGTGACGTATTGTAGAAAACTCTTTATGAAATGTATAAATGGAAACTAACAATTATACACACACACACGCACACACACACATAAGAAAAGACCCACTCATATGTACTTGTGATGTCACACCGTTCGAGCTAGGAAGGCCAGAGTTTCGAATAATAATCGCACCTAACCATGATATTGAGACCCATTAGTAAAACTCAACTTAAATGACTAAATTTGGAAAA